TTTGAGGCTAATTTTTGGGCAAGAATACGAGAATGCAAGGGCCTAAAGGGGAATGGGGTGAATAAACCTCCCAAATAAAATTTGACTAATTTGAAAAACAGTTTAGAAAATTTTATCAGAGTTTGAAAACAAAAGCGATTTGTATGGCAGAATCAAAGTGCACATAAAATGATTATGCTTGGACGATATATGCACATAACACCTTAATCGGTACACAATATGACAACAAATCGAATCAAACAGTTGACTAAAATAATTAAGCAGTGTATTTAATCAATACCAATTTGCACAAGATGTGAAATATACAACGTCAATACAATGGAGATCCTCCTATGGTCGCAATTTTTAGTCTCAATCAACAACAAGATAATTTGAAGTGATGATTCTAACAATACTTAAACTTAATCGATAAAGTGCTATCAAGGGGAAAAACCTGATAGCATGCGATTATAGGAAAGTGGTAAAATCATCTTAAACATTTAATTCTAGAAATATAATATATATATATATATATATATATATATATATATATATATATATATATATATATATATATATATATATATATATATATATATATATATATATATATATATATATATATATATATATATATATATATATATATATATATATATATATATATATATATATATATATATATATATATATATATATATATATATATATATATATATATATATATATATATATATATATATATATATATGTACGCCATGTTTATAGTGGTTTGGTTATCGCCCTCACTAAGCGTACTCCACTCTCCAATGTATTCTTATTGAAATTTTTGGTTTTCCACTATAATTTTTTACCAATGCTTCTCTCATTTGCATTTATTGCTTTTCTTTTTGTGTTTTTTCCTTATCATTCCCATTTTAGTATGCCTCCGCCAAAATTTCTTCCATTGAGTTTGCATGGTTTTGGGCAAGGGCTCGTTAAAATGTCTAGCTTTGAGTCCATTATAGAAGGATTTGGCAAACATCTCTTAAACATTGTTCACCACCTTGATGGTGACTTTGTTGAAAAATGATAAATACTCTCGCAATTACTTTGATTAACCTTGATGCACTTTTATGAGGCTTGTGGTGGGCACCTTGCGGTGTTTGCTGATCAAGACTTGGTGAATTAGTTTCCATAATAGATCTTGATAGTTTGTCACTTAGAATATGGGAATATTCATATTTCAATAGGCGTATAGAGAGGAGCTTAAATTTAAGTGAATTTGATGTGTTTATGGTCGCCATATGTGTGTTGAAGAAGATGACAAGTTCCTAAGGATCACTTTTTCCTTCAAACGTCATAAAATAAGGGACTTGAAATTATTCGGGACAAGGGCTTTTGAGATTTAGACAAAAAGAAATTGAGGGTCTTCAACCTCTATTCCCTTCTAGAATACGTTGTCATGCACAATGTTACTAGATGGTGAGAACAATGACTTTCATGGTTTAAGTTTGGTTGCACAATTCATCCATAGAGACTTGTATCTCTCTTAGGACTTCCTGATAAATTGAGTTGGACATAACACATGCAACCACCGCTACGAAACAACGCCCAGGTCAATAAAACTCTTGAAAATATGCAGCTAAAAGATATTTTATCAGGTCTCACAATGAGCACCAACTGTACTTTTTGCGAGTACAATAATATTGACTTTTTACGAGTACAATAATATTGACTATGCCAAAATTATGGGTCTTATGCTATAGAGCGTGCGGCTCTTGCACATGGCCGAGTCTGCTTGTGTCATAATTCGCCTAACCAACGTTAAGATCTCTTGTATTCCTTAAGTGATTGTAAGTAGGGGTGGCAATTGGATCTATTAAGACAAAATTCATTCATCCACTAAAAAATTCATCCAATGCATCCACCACATTAAAAGTAAGTTAATGGATTGCATTAAATCCAACCATTTATATGCATGAATTGATTTAATCCATCCAACATATTTTAAGGATCCAAGAATTATTTTTTATCTCCGTCTAATTTATTTTTTAAAGAATAATTAAAAATGGATTTTTAAAAAAAAGAATTGATTTTTTTCAAAAAAAAAACAAAATTTTTCAGAGAAAAATAATTTTCTTTAAAAAATAAACCGATTTTTTTTGAAAATTAAAATATCGATTTTTTAGAAAATACAAAAGGTCGAATTTTTCCAAAAAAAACGATTTTCTAAAAAACACAAAAGTCGATTTTTTTTAAAAACACAAAAAAGTCGATTTTTTTCGAAAATACAAATAATTAATTTTTTTCTCGAAAATACAAAAATTGATTTTTTTTTCAGAAAATACAATTTTTTTTCGAAAACAAAAAATTCAATTTTTTCATGAATATATTAAAAAACAGTTTTTTTTAAAATACCAAAAATGAATTTTTTAGAAAATAAACAAAAATCAACTTTTTAAAAAAAATAAATTATTTTTAAAAATAAAATAAATTGAGTATTTTTAAAATATAAAAAAAATCTATTTTTAAAAAAATAAAAAAAAATACGTTTGGTTTTATTTAATGTTAAAATGGATGGATATCCGTTCATTAAAAATATGTGAATGGATGAATTGATTGAGTTTCATTCTTAACGGATGAATTTGATTGAATAATTTTTTTAAAAAATTAGTGAATTGTTAATGAATTAATGAATTATTTTGATTCATCCGTTAATAATAAATCCATATTTATTTAATCCATCTACTTTATTATCCTTAATTATAAATGATTAAATCAAGTTAAATAATATTAAATAAGTTTAAGTTATAATATTTACGACGGTCTAAAAATCTCAAATAGATTTGTAAAAACGAAGTGGTTAAGAAAGAAATAAAAATGTGGATTCATTTACTTCAATATTTTAATTTTTATTGTAAAATAAATGAATTTTGTTTCACAAAAATACAAATATCTATATTAGTCCAAATATCTCATAATTCGACATTTTTGAAGGTATTAATTGAAATTGCAAACTGGACTCACAAATGTAACCAAACAAATTGAAAAATGAGAGATACCAAATTTGAACAAATTTGGTTATGAAGAGAACGTGAAACTCGCATGCAGTGTGAGGACAGACTCATTTCTCCGTGAATTGATTAAGAAGAAGCTCACGTGTAAGCAAAGTTTCTGAGCCTAACAAAATCCATTAGAAAAATGATAAATAATAAATTTGTTTGATTTGATTCAATGGATTTGATTTTTTTTTCTATTTTTAAATTGACTAGTATATTATAACAGATATAAAAAGATAAATTTTTGTTCAAACTTACTATCTCTCCTATTTCAATTTGTTCGGTTAGAGATATAAAAAGATAATTTTAAACTTGCTATCTCATATTATTATAACAAATATAAAAAGATAAATTGTCTTTTTGCAATTTCAATTGACTTAAAGATGAATAGTTTAAAAAATTCAATCTTATATGATCCAAATTCAATTTGAGTTTGTTTTGTATTATTCAAAAAAGAAATTATAATTTTTTTATTTATATTATAAGTGCGCTCATACGAATATTAATATTGCTCAGACGAACATTCGTATGTCCGTCTCTCTGTTTTCTTAATGTACATATGTAAAAATTATTTAATATTAATTTCAATAAAATTAATATTAATTTCAATAAAAGTTACGTAAAAAATTGTTAATGAGAAATTATATGAATAATGATAGTAGTTTTCATTTATTTTGTAAGTTACATATTTTAAACTAATAAATAATATAAAATATACTAAAACTACAAAATAAAAATAGAGCTTAATTCAAACTCAAACCATTTCATCAAACTGCTGATAGATAAATATTAAAAATAAAACTAACAAATAATATTAAATCAAATTAAATATTAGTGAATGACATATTTTACTAATAAATAAGTATTAAAATATAGTATATTCAGTTTAACTTGTTTTAAAATTCGAAATCAAATTTGATACAAGTGATTTTCATAAAATAGAGAATCAAAACATATTAATATTCAAATTTTTATTAGTAATTCTTATTAGAATCGCTTCAAACGAGACATATATTTTAAAATAAAAATATACTGTAACATGTTTTGTTTGATGATCAATCCTAATATAGTGACATTAATATCCGAATTCATAGATATATTGATATAGAAATAATGAGAGTAGTTTTGAAATGCAATTGATGTGGACCTCAGGCATTAGTAGGTTGCCATTGAATTCGTCATGCATGAATACGAAAGGCTCCTTCTGCACAGTGTAGCGACAATAACAGTGACGTAACTAACCTGTAGCCTGCGCACTGCACTGCAATTGTGATGTGCCTTTCCACTCTCTTCTTGAAAATATCACACTAGGGCCTGGGCTTTTTAACTACATCGATATTTGTCCAAGCCCGTTTCTAAAAAGTGTCATGAACGTCATGTACCCACGTCACTCCAATAAGGTACTGCTGGTAGAACCCTAGTTGTTGGTTGCTATCTTATTCGAACGCTACGCATCCACCACACACACCCTAATTCCATGAACCATAGGAGCCAAATATTCACTAACTTTCCTCTAACTTGGCATAGATTTCTTTTTCATAACACACCTTTAACCAAAAGAGTTAATGGATGTACTCACTCTCCACTATATATAGATACGAATAAAATTGGGTCACACAACAAGCACAACTCGCCAATATGATTTTGGATTTCCCACTTTATGCCGTTCACTTCCAAAACTACTAGTAAAGTTTACCTTCCCTTTTCTTTTTCTGCTCATATTCTATTCATTATAATAACGCTACCTAAATTTCGGTTTAAAATTATTTTAATAGGATTAGCTTTAAAATGCAATTAAGTTTTTGAATCAAGAACATCTGATCTTTAATTGTTACAAACAATTAATGCTAATTTTAAGTAATCTTTTCAAACATTAAAAAAAAAAAAACTGCACCACCAGCTGTGTACATACATGAATTATACCGCTGTAGTATTTTCTTTAATACTTTTTTTCTTCATTTTGCCATAAACTGCTCCATTCTAGACCGCCACGTCATTCTCATTGTTCTCATCTCCTCCGCCGCCACCGACTAAAGGATCAACACCGCCGCCACCATTATTCTCTTCAAACCACCCACCTTCCAACGGCGAACACTCCATTTTATGTCGCAGTTTCCAGTCGAGTGACTGACAACCACGGGAGCAGTAATTCACCGTACCACAAACTGAACACCGCCGAAACTCATGCGGCCGCATCTCCACACGACCGCATCCAATATGTGCACACAGTCTCAATCCTTCCTCTAAAGTGCCTCTCCCAGACTCAAACCACTGCCTCAAAAACCAGTTCACCGGATGCACCTCCGGCACCGTCACGTTGTAACTGTTTTCATCGTTATTACTTATCAACGGCACGGCCATGTTTTTCAGACTCCGCAACGCTTCCTGACAGAAACCAGCCCGTGAAGGCGACTCCGCCGAAATAGCGCGTAGCACCAGTAAGAGTTCTCTGATGTTAGCCTGCACCAACAACCGTCGTCCTTCGGTAACGTTCTGTTTAACTCCGTAACCATCTTGAAGACAATGGCCAAACTCCCGAAGCGCGTCTATGTGGCCAAGCATCGACGCGCGTGCAGAAAGTGCCGCTCCAGCGCGTAGATCTTTGTCGTGCTTAGAGCCACCGCTTCCGTTGAACTGAATCACAGCGAGTGAGTAAAGCGCCGGCGCGTGCATCATCATTGCCGCTTTCGCAATTAGGGATAGTCCACTCTTTCGATTTTGAAGACAATAAAAACGGATCTATGACAAGAAAAAAAGATAAGAAAATGTATTTATTATTTATTTTTCATTTCCGAAAAAATCGCAAGGGAGAAGAAAAAAAAGTGACTCACCATTCCAAGAGTATAAAAAGCCTCCACGCTACCGGCGTCAACACAGCGTTTAAGAAAACGGTGAGAGCTATCGCACCATTTATTGGGATGAACAAAAAGAACTTTAGACCCAGCTTTCGATAAAACCAAAGGATGAAGACCTAACTGTTTGAATCTCTTGCATCTGTGTTCATTTTATTTAACGGCGTTAAATGAATGAATAAACCTCTTTTCTTGAGGAGAAAGAGAAAGAGAGAGAGAGGATGAAGATGAAACTTACGTTGACAGAATGTTGAGAAAATGGGAAGATGAAGAGGCGGTTGAACTGAGCTTCGTGAGAATGAAGACGACGACATCATCTGGTAATTCTTCGAAAAAGTTTTCTTCATTCTTGTGTAGTTGTTTCAATGGCCTTCTCATATTTTCTCATTTGAGAATCTTCGTTTGCTTTGGTGTGTACTGTATTGTGATTGTAAAAACTGTGTTATGGGAAAGAGGCTCTGCGAAAATGGTGAGTCTGTGAGAAAGAAACTGAAAAGCATGAAACGGAAGCGATAGGTGAGGTGAGACGTATTCTTGTTCTTTATATTTGTTTTTCTAAGACTAGCAAAAACTTATGGACCCACGTTTTACAAGCCATGGTTTTATTTTATCTTTTACTTAATGACAGTTTTATCCCTCTATTTTAACTGATTCATTGCATTAATCTATATTTTTTTGTCCTTTCATATATTTGCAAGGAAAATTAACAACGCAGCCAGTTTTTAATACTAACGAGTTAACACTGTTAAAAAATTGACACGGTTAAAATATGAATTATGGAACTAATTCCTTAAATAAATGAAATAACATAGAAATCAAAATAATTAAACAAATCTTTTTATATTTAAACTAGTGTAAAATTTTGCTAATTATAGTAATTTTTATTTGCCAAGTGTGATTTTGAATCTAGAATCTTCCCATGGTTATTAGTTTTTGATAGTCATTACCAAAAAAAAAAATAGTGATTGAACAAACTTTTTTATATTACTATTTTATAATAAGCTTTTCCCATATAAACCTAATTTATAGTAATAACTATTGATATAAAAAACATTTTTTATGTAAAGTAACCCCAACATAATTGGTAAAGAAAAATCAAATTTTGTAATGGTCATAATTCAAGATTTACGAGTCAAAATTAGTTTTTTTTGTTTTGTTTTGTTAAACCTAGTTGAAAATTGAAGATTCAAACTAAAGAAGGGCAATGATGGCACCATAATAAGTTGAACTTGCACTCTGCCTAAATTCAATTTGGGGTCAAACATGCGAGTGGAAATGTGAAAACATTTCCCACTATGTGCAATGTAGTGGGAAGGTTTTGCGTATAGCAATTAGGGTCCGTTTAATTTCTTCATTTGAAACTGAAATTATTTCATATACAATATTAAAGTATATTAATTTCCACATATCACAAGTATTCAAAGTTTTAAAAAGCAATAAAAAATATATATTTCAAAATTTCAATTTGATTATAAAATATAAATATATCAAATTACTATAATAAACTAGTATGTTTATAAATTTGTATCAAATTATACCATTTACACCTGATCTGACCTGATTAGGAGGGGATCACGGTCTGGCTACACGCTGTTGGGCTGTTACCTGTTCACCTGTGTTGAAGAGGAGGAGGGGGGTGTACCTGCAAAACACTCCGATGCCAAAATAAGAAATTGGGCAGAGAGGGAGCAAAGTACAGAAAGGACAAGATGTGAATTACCTGACCCTCTTGTGGAAGAGGGTATTTATAGAGAGACCCCAGCGCTGGGCCAACGGTCATTTGAGGTGGGCCGGATGACCAGGCCCAACCCTAATGACTGTTAGGGCTTACGTGGCGTAGTGAAGACCAGGACGTGGTCTTCGCCCTAGTCCAACTGCTCCTTGATCTCCGGAAAGTGGGTTTGACCTGCTCTTTCGGAGGTGGGCAGTTGGTTGATGACGTGTCCCCGCGGAGGGGAGCACGTGGAGAACGTGCGCCGGGCACGTTGTTCTCCCCGCGGAGGGGAGCTCGGGAGGTTCCCCGGAAGCAGGTTGTTCTCCCTGCGGAGGGGAGGAACCACGGCCGCGCTTTTGGTGTGCCGGGGTTGGTTCTGCTCGGCTGGTAAGGTGGATGATGAGTTGCTGTTGGAAACGCTGCTCGTGTTCGGCGGAATGCTCTGCCCGTCTCGAGGGACGCACGTGCCCGGCGTGCCCGATTCACCTGTTGGGTCGTACGTGGTATTGGGCCTGCCGAGGTCGGGCCCATACCGGAACAGGAGCCCCCCAAGTCGAAGCTCTGGGAAGAGAGCGAGGACTTAAGGTCGCTGTGTCGGGGAGAGAGGTAACGGAGTGGGAGGTTCGTCGGGACTCGCGCACGGTGGCACGGGCACTCGTGCGGGGATCTCCGGTCGTCGGCGGAGCGGGGCGAAAGCAGGTGAAGGGGCGCGACTGTCAGGCTGCCGCCACGTGTCGTGCGTTAAGCGGTCGTAGGGGCGGCTACCCTATGTCATTAATGAGCCTAGCGTCGCTTCGAATCCCGCGTCGGGTTATAAATACGGGGGTCCCCGCTCATTTTATTACTTTTCACTCTGCTGTTGTATCTGCGAAGCTCCGTCATCTCTGCTCGTCCGTCGCTTGCCGTCAATCGACGCCGCACCGTTTGATCCTTTCTTCCGTTCGCCGCCGTTACAAGTGAGTTCTCATTTCTCTCCTCTTTTATTTCCGTCGTTTAATTCGAACGTGTGGTCGGGGCCTGATGAATGCCCCGAGGAGGGACGCGAGACCCGCCGTGTCTGGCGAACTTTCTGATGAGTGTCCCGGGGAGAATCGGCTGATTCCGATGAATGTCCCAAGGACGGGGGCTTTCTCCGATGAATGCCCCGGGGACAAGTGCCTTTTCCCGTGGATGCCCCGGGGAGGCGCGCTTTTCTGGTGACCGTCCCGAGGAGGGATGGCGGGTCGGCTTTAGACTCCCCGAGGAGGGTAGACGGGGAGCGAGCGTTTGTTCGTCGTTCTCCGGCCTTTGTCGCCCTTTCACTTGACCTGCGGTGGAAGGGTGGATTTGATCCTGGCTATCGAATTCACCGTTGTCCTCTGCTTTTTAGGTGTAGATGTCGGCTCTGGTACCGGGGATAATGGTCGAAGACAACGAACCCGAGATTCCGGATTATGACGACGAACGCATCGCCCCGTCCGAGGAATGGGCGGCCGAGGAGCCGCTTTCTACCCCGTCTTGTTTTGTGGCCGATGCGTCTGATGTGTATGCCACGGTCGAGGACACGCCTATAGGAGAGCCACAGCACTGGCAGGTGTACCGACCAAAAGAACATCATCGTATCTGCTCGCGATATGGGCGGCGGATGTTCCCGATGCATGAGTTCTACTTTAAAGAAGCTCGGCTCCGTTTACCGTTCTCCGCCTTTCATCTGGGGCTCTTTGATTGGTTGCGCTTGGCCCCGTCCCAACTGCACCCCAACGCCTTGGCTTTCATCCGGGCTTTCGAGGTGGTGTGTTTCTACCTCTCGGTGGAGCCGACGGTACCGCTATTTTTCCGCATCTTCCACTTACAGCGGCAGACGGTAAACGGCCGCCACGGATGGGTTTCTTTTAAGCAATCGACCAAACTTTTCAAAGCGTATAGTGATTCCGTCAAGGATTTCAAAAGTCGGTTCTACCTCGTCAAATCGATCACGCAGCAGGGCTCGGACACTCTCTTCGACGAGGGCGAGCGAACGGTAGATGGCCAGCGGTTCCTCGCGTGGCTTCCTAAGATACATCTACTGTGGACTGCGGAGCATTTCAACCGAGGAACGCATAGGTATATCGTCCGGGCGGGGACCCTCGAGGAGAAAGACATGGCCGCCTATTTGAAAATAGTCGCCTTTGTGCGGTCTCTCCCTCCGTCGAAGCTGGTGACGCCCGACGGTCGGTATATCCTCGATGCGTAGGGGAATGTGCGTACTAAGAAGCGTTTGATTAATACCAAGACCCTGCTCGGTTGTGCGACCGGGGCGGTTGCTCTGGATTATCTAGGTAGGAATGTTCGTTTTTCTCCCCGTGGTCGGGGCTTCGACCGTCGCTAACTCTTTTCTTTGTTTTTGCAGCGAACATGTCTTCCGTCGAGGAGCGGGTGAAGCAGTTGCGAGCCACCAGGAATGTCGCGGTCCCGAGGACGAGGGTGAGCCAGCTGGTCGGACAGGAGGTCGCGACGCCGGGGGGGCAGTGTTCGTCCTGTTCACCTCAAGGGAGTCAATCTCCTGCGTCTCAAGGAGCATCGAAGAGGCAGAGGTCCGAGAAGCCCCGAGGTGTGGTGGATCTGACGGTCGGCACGGCTGAGGAAGGTTATGTCGTCCCGCCCTGCCATCAGCATCCGGGCTATTTTCATGGTGCCCGCTCTCCTACCGTCTCTGCTGGGGAGGTGAAGGCTGTTCGTCAGGCCGATCGAGAGACTCGTCGACGTGTTCTAGCTGAGGACTTGGCTGCAATGATGCGGACGTTCACGACGGCTCTTGTGCTGAACGAGGAGAGCTGCTCTGCTGCCGAGCTGTCTAAGCTGCAGGGGGATCTTACCTTCATGCAGTCGCGATTGACCAAGCTCACTGGGGAGTTGGAGAAGAGCCAGAAGGATGTTGCTGAGCAGCGAAAACGGGCAGAGGGTGCTGAGGGGAAGGTGACTTCACTGGAGGAGAAGCTGGGGGAAGCGACGGCCGAGGTGCAGGCGCTGAAGGTTCGCACAGAAGTCTTGGACAGCGCAGTCCGTCCGGGCGAGGACGAGACAGATGGAGATCGGCAGTTAATCACTTGTGTTGACCTGATTGCCCGTATCCGGGTGTTGGAAAGCGACTGTCTGGAGGCTGTTGAGGTCGGATTCAAGAGTGTTGTTGAGCAGGTTCAGGTCGCCAATCCTGGTGTCGCGCTGGCCGTGGATGGGATCGGGCCGTACCACGAGATTGTTGACGGGAAGGTGGTTGATCCCTATCTTGTTGTTCCCGAGGAGGATCCCGCAACTGCTGATCGGGCGGACGAGGTAGCATAGGTTGTCGGGCCTGCGTGCTCGTTGTTTCCGTGGCCTGCGTGCCGATGTTTGTGACATCTTTCTTTGGGCCTGCGTGCTCTGTTTTTGTACTATTGACTACTGGGCTGGTGCCCGCCTTTTGCTTAATATTATTTTGTGGATTTTCTAAGTGCGCGCTCGTTATTTGCATGTCGTTTATGCTCGTTTTTCGTATTTGTTTATTTGAATGCTTTTGCATGCCTTTGATGTGTACGATATTTCTTGTAAATTTTCTAAGTGTGCGCTCGGTATGTTCGGGTGTTAGCTCGACGATTTGTTACCGGTGGTGCAGGGAACCAGCCGGTTTGGTCGGCGACGTAGCCGGGCCGTTTCGGGGGTAGTTCTC